GATTTTGAGATTGAAAAATGAGTTTTATTGTGTTTTGAAAATGAAAATTTTGTTTGAAAAATTACGTCGTTACAAGTTGGTATCAGAGCCTTGGTTTGAGGGATTCGGATGCACCTCCGGGTGTGTTTGGACTCAAACTGAGGATTTGAGAAAGATTTTCAAAAGAGATAAATTTTTCTAAAAATTAGAAAGAGTTTAAGAGCAAACGAGTTGGAGCAGTGTGTACAATCAGCCAGAGCCCGAGTAGTGATTTCCCAAAACACCCTTACTTTTGTGTTATAAGATATTTATGATATACTATGAGGTATTGTAGTGACATAAGAACATGGTTTGGCATGCGGAATTAAAGATTGCACAATGAACATGGTGATTTCGGTGTTTAAGAGATGTATTGATTGTATATGGTGTTACACAAAAAGGATCTACATCTAGACTACATAAATAACACACACTTACACACTCAACTTTTACATCCCTCAAGCACACCTCCATAAGTGGTATGAACCCACCTTATATAGAGGTGTTTACATGTCTCTCTCTCTCTCAGTCTCTATCTCTCATGTGTCATAAGGCTAATACTCCACATGCAAGTGGGTTTTACAAAAGTCAAAAATTACAAAGTCATTCATGGAAAACTTTGTACCCCAACATTCTCCCCCTCAAAGTTAGGAATGAATGACCCACTTCAAATCTTCCAAAATCGAGCAACTACGCGATCCGAGCCTCAAGGGTGACACATGTCGAAACGAACTTCAATCTTCAATTCTTCCATGATTCTTCAATTTGGGCTCTAGGATGTGAGACCGTACAAACCGAGCATCAACGAATGATCACGAGCTTCTTAAACTCCAAATTGATCACCAAAAGTTGAGCATAAAGCACACCCCAAAAATCTTCAATAAAACCAAACCCATTTCGAATACATCACTTCCGAACTTCCAATTTCATCATTTCGTAAGCTTCAAAAATTAAGGTCACTTCGGTCTTCAAATCCGCGTAATATGAAAAATTCAAGTTCGAATTTCCATATAAATTTCTCCCCCTTTTTTATAATCGAATTTTGATTATAAAACCTTCAAGGAAATAGAACGTGCTCTATTCAGAATTTTTCGTGTCAAAACTCCCCCTTAACATGTGGCATAAACTTTGTGCTTCAATCCGGAAAATCCAAAAAATAATCAATTTTTAGCTTCGTTCACGGATCGCCTTTGACAAAATTTCTCAAAATTGGGTAGAAATTGTCAATTTCAAAATTCTGCAGTGACCCGGTGCGCCCAAAACAGCAAAATATGCAAAACTCTCCCCCTTTTCCAAAGCTGGGTAGAAAGCGTCAATTTGCACAAACTGCAGGGGCTTGAAATGCATTTTCTTCAATTTTCAGCAAAAACAGTCCTTTTTTCGAATTTGGGTATGAACCGCCAAACATTCGAAGCCTCAGGGACTATTTTCGAAAATTCTACCATTTATGTTCCAAACATACGAAGAGTTGTCCCAAACATTCGAAAATTCAGAAAATTTTCGAATTTGGGTGAAAAGTGTCAAACATTCGAAACTTCAATTAATTATGGAGGTTGCCAAATATTCGAAAGTTCAGGGGCTGAATTCGAAAATTTTGCTTTTTGATCAAATCATACAAAATTTTGATCATTCATACGAAGCCCTTTTCCATTTGTCAACCATTCGAAATTTGAGGGACTACATTCGAAAATTTTACTTCTCCATTCCAAACATACGAAAATTTTGCATCCAAACATACGAAAATTTTTCCTTCTCTCTCCCCTTCGTACGAAAATCATCTTCCCCAAAAATTTTCTCTCTCCTCTTCGTATGATCATAGCACCAAATCCATAACCATATTCACGAATTCGAAGGCATTCGAAGCCTCTTAATGAACAGTAACCTCTTAATCATCCGACCTCTGAATCGAATTATCTCACTTCGTACATTCAACCCAAAATCAAATTTTCATTCTTACAGTTCATCGTTTTTCGTTCATTGACCACATACCCTTCGTTCATTCACTCTTCCCTTTTATTCATCAATCCAAAACACCAACTCCAACCCATCGATCATATAACCAAGACTTTGATTGATCGACTCCAACATTAACTTTGCTTTTCATTCAAGAATTGTCATCAAACATTTGAAAATTGACTCCAAACCCAGTTCACGTTATTATCACAGTACACCACATCGACCAAAATCGACTTTGAATTATCGATTTCAAAAACGAAAACATCAACCCGATTAACATCATGCCTTCACTTTTTCAGTTCAACCATTAGATCCCAAACCATTTAATAACCCATCGAACCTGTTCATCGTCGGTGTATCAACACAAAAGCGAATCATTCAAAATCGACATCAATACACGAACTCGATACCATTCAAAATTGACATTGTTCCCAAATCTTCACTTTTCAGTCAAGATCAGCTCGACATCAGTGACTTTTGACTATCCAAGATCAACAATCGAAGGCTTTTAACGTCACAACCCTTTACACACGAACAAGAACACATCAAATTTTCGAAATTAAATCCCAAATTAAGTATGATGTCGACATCAATAGCCCATATTCATCTTGCAACAAACGATTTCGACATCCAATTCATCAATTCATTACTTTAAATCTCGACTTTGACTTTCTGCTAAGTTTGACTTTTCGAAATCAACTGTAAGCAAACATGAAATTGATATTTCTAATGCCAAATTTCAGATTAAAACATGAATGTTTCACTGTTCTTCATCACCTTCAAGTGTTCTTGGTGAAGTTCATCCAAATCAAAAACTCAATTTTTGATTTTTTTTTCAATTTTGACTTGATCATAATCGATTTCTGTGATTTAACACAGTATATTGAATCGATTCACAAGAACGAATTAGCAAGTACTTCAAATCGATTAACAGGAACGTGAAGTTGAAAATAAAATTTCAAGAACGAGACACGAATGTCTGATGGTACAACTGGATAAAGTAAGAGACGATGATGAACGATAAACATCAGTGACAGCGAATTTGGATCAAACACATTCAATGTCTTTTGGGCTCAAACGGATACATGAACAGTAATCGAATATTAATTTTGGGCTCAAATCAATCGGATATGAACAGCAAATAGCACGTAATTGGGCTTAACATATGAATAGATGACTTCGGATCTTAACAAACAGAATTTTGGGCTTGAAATTTAATCGATGAACAGTGATTTTCGAAAACTTTTAGAATTTGATTTTATTTAAGAATTTTTGATCTAATCAACAATAAATGGATCAAACAATGGGGTGAAAACTAATTTTGATCCATTGAAACAAAACGATCAAACAATCAAACACGCAACGCACGATTCAAATATTACGAGAGATCATAGAGAGAGACTCACCAAAAATTGCTCAAATTGCGACAAAATTTTGCCAAACCGAAAATCGTTCTTCAAAAATCACCTTGATCTTGAAGACCCGCTCTGATACCAATTGTAGTGACATAAGAACATGGTTTGGCATGCGGAATTAAAGATTGCACAATGAACATGGTGATTTCGGTGTTTAAGAGATGTATTGATTGTATATGGTGTTACACAAAAAGGATCTAGATCTAGACTACATAAATAACACACACTTACACACTCAACTTTTACATCCCTCAAGCACACCTCCATAAGTGGTATGAACCCACCTTATATAGAGGTGTTTACATGTCTCTCTCTCACTCTCTATCTCTCATGTGTCATAAGGCTAATACTCCACATGCAAGTGGGTTTTACAAAAGTCAAACATTACAAAGTCATTCATAGAAAACTTTGTACCCCAACAGATATTATGCATGCTAGAGAGTAGGCTAGGTATTTCATATATTGGGACTATGGTGGCTTGATTTGTGATGCCTTAGCCTAGGGATTTATGTTATCGGTAATTTGCCTTGAGTATGAGCTGAGAATGAGTATTTAGCAGGAACGACCTTATGAGAGATCTACTGTGAGAGTAGCTTGTGTTTAGTGAGGTATAGAGTACTTGTAACTGGGATCCGAGGAGGAGGACTTGGGGTGAATACAGATGCGGTGTGGAAGGTAGTATTGGTCCCGTACTACTGGAAGCACCGGATCAGTGAGCAATCCAAGTAAGAATCCTTAGGATACTAAGGAACAAGTAGGGGTGAGTGATCGAGTGTTAGTATACTCGAGCGAGTCTCTGATTATTTTGTGTTGTGTTTCAGAGACATCATGGTGAGTACACGCCACAACCCTGGAGGCAGTGGGACTAGTGACGAGGAGATACGGAGGATGATTCACGAGGAGGTGGCCACAGCTATCCGAGCAGAGATTCCAAAGATGTTTTGGTCTATTAAGACCACCCTGATTGAGACTTTTGATGAGTGATACGTTGCTGTCACTGAGGCTGCTGCTGTTGCCGCCATTGCAGCCGTCGCTGCTGCTAGGCCTCAGGGAGGTGACTAGCTGTTGTTCCGGGAGTTTAGCAACACGAAGCCACCAGAGTTTGATGGGACACAGGATCCAATTGCTACGATGAGATGGATCTCTGATATCGAGGGGTGTTTTTACACATGTTTATGCCCAAATCACTTGGGAGTTCGGTTTGCGCTGAACCAACTTCACTTGGAAGCGAATGACTGGTGGAAGTTTGTGACAGCCGCTTTTACCTCTACAGATCATGTTGCGGTGACGTGGGAGAGGTTTGTTCAGATGTTCCGAGACGAGTATGTTCCCTCGGTAGAGAGGGAACGTTTGGAACATGAGTTTCTGTCTCTTAAGCAGAAGACAGAGTCAGTGACTGAGATTTCGAGGATGTTCCATGAGAGGGCGATGTTTTTCCCTGAGCACGTGTCCATTGAGCAGGCACGTGTCAGTCGATATTTGAGCATACTGAGGAGGGATATACGAGAGTTCGTGGCGAACTCGTCGTACATGACATTTGTAACGTCGTGATTTCTACTCCATTTTTTTTCTTTTTTTATTTAAAACTTTAACAATCCTTAAATGAAAAATGCAACGGAAGACTGTATTTATTATTATTATTATTATTATTCAACCATTCCAAAAACCACACGTTACCATTTTTATAAACCAACATTCAATCGTTAAATTATTGCAAAAAGGGGTTCAATGAAAAATAAAAACCAAACGTGCACAAGTGACATCTTCATTAAAACTAACTACGCAAAAGGAACCCAACCTCACCAAGCCATGCTCCTAAGCTACCTGTACCAATCAAATGGCATTCAACAAAAAAACAAGTGTCAGTAACCGCCTTGTGAGCCGACAAGTTGTACATAACCAAAAAGAAAGCACACCATTCCTGTAAGGGTCATTCATGCAAATCATGATAATAGCATAGTCAAGAAAAACAAATAACATGATATCATAATTTAATTCAATCATATAGTTTTCAACTTAACTCAACCGATTATCACATATAATTTAATTCACCGTTTATTATATGTAATTTTTAATTCAACCGATTAACTATTTTGGGGTCCCTTAAGGAGAGACTACCCAACAACTTAACCTCGTTCACTACTCGTGTGCTCAGCCAGTTTAGTGCTCTAAGTGGCTCATGACTTCCACCCGAATACACCAACCCCAAGACTTCCACTTTCGCTACTCCGACTTGCAAAGTACAAGTACTTTACGGTGTCGTTCAGGATCGGTACAAACCGTGCCAATTCCACCGATACACCTCCCGATTCCCACGTGATGTTTGATCCGGTCACACCATAAAGCCAACACCACTCCAGTTCCCATACACCGAGGTGCACACGAACCACGTGTCACACGACCATCTAGAAAAGTTCGTGTAACTAATCACTGTTATGGCTTAAGCTCTTTCAACCTATTAGACTTGCAAGGTTCTACCCATGTAACCGTTATACCCCACAAAAGCACGCATACACCATAATAATCATGTTACTCTTACAACTTAAACGAGTAATTATCATGTAATGAAGTTCATTAAGATGTCATCATACATTAGCATATAACTACCAATTCATGAAACATCATATCCGCATGCAATTTACAACGTTCACATAACATGAATATCACCATAGCAACTGATACCAAGGAATAACCACACATAAGATGCAAACAACATATTTTCAATAATTATCACAAGCATTTATAAAAATCTAGCATGAATCCTAATTTGCATCAACAATCCACCTATGAGATGTGGTTTTCGGTTATGCACTAAAGTCAACAAAAATTGTCGACTCGCCTTATGTTTGAAGTGAGTTCTCCTTTTTAATTCAAGACTTGACCCTTCTTGAAGTTGTCAAGTTTTCACCTAATAATCACACATACCAAGCAATCATCAAAATGAGGTCCAAGTTTCATTAACACATTTAATTTCTTAATGGGTTACATATTTTTTGAAGTTTCACAGCTTGACCACTGTTCAGTGTTTTGGTCCTAAAACAGAATCTGTAACTCCGATTGGGCTGAATCCGGACTTTCTGAAAACTCGACTCGATTTCCTACATTTTATCCAGAGAGGGGCATCGGCCAATTCTGCTCAGATTAGCAGCTACAGCCCTTGCAAGATAGGGCAAAGTTGTTGTGCAGATTTCCAATAATTGCCAAAAATCACCATATGATTCATGACCTTGGACAAGGGATTAAAGCCACATGATTTAACACACCAAAAGCTTGAATGAAAGAATTAAGACATAAATTAAGTGGTTTATGAAAAGACCAATAATTGACTAAAAGATTATTGAAAGTAAGATGCCCTAATGCACCAACACCAAAAATCTACATACACCAATAAATACTTCATTTAGTTCAAATCAAGATACATGTAGGGATGAACTTTTAGGGAACTTTAGACACATATTTTGTGGTTTTCAAGTTTGTTGTTTCAACCTCTAAGTCATGGTTTCAAAGACCAAAAATACAAACAATACTACCAAGAGTTGTGAGGACTTTCAAGCTAGAATTTTGATACAATCTTTGCTAGTTCAAACAACAACATAATTACCCACATATCAAAACTTCTAGGGGTTGTTTTGAGGGTTATAAAGGGTCCTCAAAACATGAATTCAATGCAGGAAATTATTCACTAAACTTGAAGACAAGAAAAACAAGATTTTCCCCAAAGCAAATCAATTTGTCTCCAAGATTGGAATCAGTTCAGGAATGCCAATTCCAATATATGAGGGAACATTTGAAAATTGATCATACAGTAGACTATGATTGAGATCATGTACAAGAAGTCAATTGAGGAGCAATTCAACCCCAAAAATCGAAATTAATTGCAACCCAATTGAGGAATTAACATAACAGGAGGGAGATTCAAGAGATTACCAAGGTTTGTGATCGATCCAACGAATTTGAAACAAAAATCGGAGCCCACAGCCCCTGCTAAGCCGATCGCTACCTCCTCCCCCAATGCCAATCGTGTGTGTTTTTTGCTTCTTCTCCTTCATCGACGCCTGCTGGAACGATGGCCAAAGTATCGGGATTTTTTTTGTTTTCTCTCTGTCGATGTCCAGCAAGTAACGAGGCTGGGGGACGAGCTTGAGTTCGCTTCTTATTTCGCACGATACAAGGAAATGGATATGAGAACAAAATCGATTCAATCCCATGGGGGGTTATATCAAATTCTCACCTCCCAACCTTTAAATTTTCGATTTTTAGCACCTTTCAACCCTAACCCTAGGAAAGTTGACAATACAAGTTTCTTTTTATGACACTTAAACCCCTCAACTTGTTTTTACATCCTTCCATGAATTATAACCACATAATTAAATTATTTCACCCTAAATTGTTATTATATATTTTTTTCCACTAAATATTACTTAATTTATTTTATTTTATGTCTTTAAAATCGAAATATCTTTACAAAAATTAACTTTTGAGTGACGAAAAGCTAATAACATTAACGGATGAATTTTTGGGTCGTTACAATTCTCTCCTCCTTAAAAAGATTCCGTCCTCGGAATCTCTAAGTTATTGTATCATTTTGTTCCTAGTTCATCTCATTGAGTTATACTCCTAAACGAATCAATGTCAAAGGAAAAGTGTGTTCACCAGAAGTGATATCACACATAACAAACTTTTCACGTATTATGACTTAATTAAACACAGCCACATCAATATCTAGATCGCAACTAATGGAGTCCGAGGTACACGCAATGATACCAACTACCTCCTATCCCTAGCATCAAATAACATAAAAGCACAGATAACACATAAACAGGTATAGAAGTAACTAAGAGGGTTCCCAAAAATTACCTCATCAGTTGTCATATTGAAAGCACGAGCTTTCACCTTTGGCGCTTCGTCTTTCTTCTCACTAGCTCCCATCTGGACCTTGGGGTTGGGACACTGCGTACTGATATGTCCCATTTGACGACAGTTGTAGCACATAGGTTCAACACTCTTACAATCTTCATAATGATGCCCTATTTTCCCACATCGCCTGCAACTCATGGTACTGCTACTACATGGACCTTCATGAGAGGAGTGACACTTCTTACAAAATGTTGATTTTTCACCCTTCTTCTGAAATTTCTGCTTCTCAGGGGACCCCGATTGACCTTTACACTTGCGTTTTTCCTCGTAGCTCGTTGTGGTACGGTCCCAAATGGCTATATCATTCTCTATCTTGCGGGCCTCATCCATGGCCTCGCCTAAAGTGGTCCTCAATCTCACAACTGCACGGTACTCGAATGGCAACCCATCCACATTGTGATGAATCAACTTCTCCTCAGTCGGGCAGTAATCAGCAGCGAATTGTGACTTCTCAGTGAAGGTGGTGTTATACTTAGCAATCGTCATGTTTCCTTTCTGAAGATTCAAAAACTCCCGTTGGGCCTGTTGTATGCTACCTTCACTGCAGAAATGATCTTTCACCTTCCTACTAAGAATTTCCAAAGTCATAGCCCTCCGAGTGGCCTCGGTGAGTCGTGCGTCAATAGCGTCCCACCACTCGAGTGCTTCCTTGTCAAACGTTCGCACCGCATAATTCACTGTAACATCCATAAATTTTACGCCAAATTTAAACTTTTTCAATCATAAATAAAAATCAAATAACATTGTTTACAAAAATGTTTTCAAATCATTATCCATCAGAGTATCCCAAAATCATAACATAAGGATGAGGAGCGGTATGGTCACGCCTTCGCCTTGCCATGATCTCCTGAAGTACCTGAAACAATAAACTGAAAACTGTAAGCCCGAGGGCTTAGGGAGCTACCCCCAAAATACTAATACCACACTGACAATACCATATCAGTAATAATCAATCAATCAACATGCATACTGGGCCATCGGCCTGACCGGACCGCCCTACAGGGCCTACAGTCTATCTGGATCTATCCCGAGCCTTTGGCATGACTGGTCCGCCATGTGGGCCTATAGTCTCCCCTGACCGCTCATAGGGTATGTTGGCCTTCAGCACAAAGCAGGAACGCCTCAACCCAACCAACAAGCAAATAACCATGTGCGCATAACTATCATATACTGGCATATACAACATCAAACATATCTATCTCACTGATCATCAATCATAGAATTCTCTCGTAACTAGAGTACCGACCTAGCATGTCACTAACATACCAATCCCTACGGATCATAAGAGCATAGCATACTGTCTACCCTGATTCCGATCTAACAGATCATAACCACATGTAGCATACCATAACAATAACAACTAGAGGGCCGGCCTTGGTGCCGTAGACCCTTTCGATATAGTGAGGATAACTCACCTCGTAGATGTCGACTCGGAAGGTAAACTCTAACTCTCGGATCACTTGACACAGGCTCCACCACCTATTATCATGGTACAATATACTCGTAAGTCCTTAACCTTATAAGGTACTTCATAACCCACTAGTCAACCCCTGATCAAAGTCAAAGTCCTCAGTCAAGGTCAACAGTCCGTGTTGACCTCGACTCGTCGAGTACCCTCGGCTACTCGCCGAGTTCATTGAAGCACATTCCAACTCGCCGAGTCATCGGGGTGACTCGTCGAGTTCCTTCGATTCTCGATCCAACTTTAAGGCCACCCGTCGAGTTTCCTCCTTGCAGCTCGACGGATACACACGCATACATATCCTGGAGAAAACTCATCCGACTCGCCGAGTTGTTCTTCAACTCGTCGAGTCTATGGCAATCATCATCGGACTCGCCGAGTTGTTCCTCCAACTCGTCGAGTTCACGGCCATCTTCATGTGACTCGCCGAGTCAACCTTGCGACTCGCCGAGTCCATTCAGTCCTTTTTCCATACAGACCTATTTTGAGCCATGCAGCGGCTCCAAATCACAGATCCAAGCTTCTAGGGCATGCTTTTCACGTAAAGTTGCAAAATTTACGTGCATGCATAGCTACAAAGGTTCTAAATGCCAAATCTAAGCTCTTAATGGGGTCTCATGCCCAAGGAGGGCCTCATTCACGACCAATACAACAACTTTATGATTCTAAAACTTAAGGAGGGTCCAGATCTGAAGTTACAACTTCAGATCTAGCACATAGCCCACCTTGTCAACCTCAAAATCCATAAAAAAAACCCCAAAAACTCAACAAAAGGAAAAAGGGAAGTAAGGATGGCAACTTGATACCTCCAAGGGATGCTAGCTGAGGTACATTCTGCTTCCCACACCTTCCTTGCTTCAATTCCTTGCACTTCTAGCTTTTCTCTTCTAGCCAACCTTCTTTCCAAGCTTAAGACACACCAAAATGGAATACCACACGAATTAGGGTTTTAAGGAGCTCTCAAGGACTGTAAAGAGGCCAAAGGAGGCTGAGGCTCCTTTAAATAGGGGTGAAAACCCCGGGATTTAGGGTTTCATCTGCCAGCTCCTACTCGCCGAGTTCCAATATGGACTCGGCGAGTAGGTCACTTAACACGCGATCCCACCCCGCTACTACTCGACGAGTAGGGCAACCAACTCGTCAAGTAGAGCTTAACCCCATAAATCTTATTTATACAATACCTGAGAATCGGGGCGTTACAACTCTCCCCCACTTGAACTAGACTTCGTCCTCGAAGTCCGCTGGAATAAACAATGTCGGGTAATGCTCGCGCATCTCCGCCTCCGGCTCCCATATCCACTCGGATCCCCTCCGATGCTCCCACTGTACCTTTACTAAAGGTATTTCCTTGTTCCGCAGAATCTTCTTCTTCCTTTCCAAAATAGCCACAGGCTTCTCTACATAGTTCAGGCGCTCATCGACCTGAATATCATCCAACGATACCACTGCCTCCTGGTCCATAATGCATTTTCGCAATTGCGAAACATGAAATGTGTTGTGGATCCGGTTGAGCTCCTCCGGAAGCTCTAGCCTATAAGCCAGCCTGCCAACCATGGCAACAATCCTGAACGGCCCAATATAACGGGGACCCAATTTTCCCCTCTTCCTGAAGCGGATCACACCCTTCCAGGGTGAGACCTTCAGGAGAACCATGTCACCCACCTGAAATTCCAGCTCAGATCGGCGTCGGTCGGCATAACTTTTCTGCCGACTCTGAGCGGTCTGCAATCGCTGTCTAATCTGCTGTATCATCTCGGTAGTTTGTAGAACTACCTCTGTCCGACCCATCACCCTATGCCCAACCTCGCCCCAGCAGACAGGGGTCCTACACTTCCACCTAAAGAACAGCTCGAAAGGCGGGGCGTCAATACTAGAATGATAGCTGTTGTTGTAGGCGAACTCTGCAAGCGGTTGGTGGGAATCCCAACTCCCACCGAAATCAATGACGCACGCCCTCAACATATCCTTGAGGGTCTGAATGGTCCGCTCACTCTGCCCATCAGTCTGCGGATGGAATGCCGTACTAAAATGCAGTCTCGTACCCAGTTCCTCGTGGAACTTCTGCCAAAAACGGGAAGTAAACCTGACATCCCGATCGGAAACAATGGAAACGGGGACCCCATGGCGAGAGATAATCTCGCGGACGTACAGGTCGGCCAACTTCTCTGCCGACGAACTCTCCCATATGGATAGGAAATGGGCTCTCTTGGTCAATCGATCCACGATGACCCATATAGCATCGAACCCCTTTGCATTCTTCGGCAACTTCGTGATGAAATCCATCACGATCTGTTCCCATTTCCACATGGGAATCTCCAGAGGCTGCAGCTTACCATGCGGCCTCTGATGCTCGGCCTTGACCATCCTACAGGTCAAGCACCTCTCAACAAACCAAGCGATATCTCGCTTCATACCAGGCCACCAATAACTCGAACTCAAATCACGGTACATCTTGGTGGCCCCCTGGTGAATAGAAAAACGAGACTTATGAGCCTCCTCCATCACTGTCTGCCGGACCCCTCCGGACATCGGAACCCAAACCCGACCATAATGGGTCAACAATCTGCGGCTATCCTGAACAAACCGGGCGCTTTCGCCCTTAATTCTTTCCAACTTCCAGTTCTCTGGTCTCATACCCTCAATCTGAGCATCCCTGACCAAACCCACCAACGGGGAATCTACCGATATCCTCATACACATGGTTGGGGTAGAGGACCCAGCTGACTTGCAGCTCAGAGCATCCGCAACCACATTCGCTTTACCAGGATGGTAAAGCACAATCATAGTCCTTGATCACATCCAACCACCTGCGCTACCTCATGTTCAGGTTCGGCCGATCCATGATG